CCCCAAAACCCCAAAACCCCAAAACCCCAAAACCCCATAAATTATCCTTAAAAATGAATAAATATTAGTTTTATAAAGCTCCTTGAAGCTGTTTATTTCATCTTGTGTCTCCTAAAATTTGGAATTTTGATTTCCTTCTGTGCAAAGATCATCTTTGAATTCATATGACTGATGTGGTTCAAGGAGTTTTTAAACATTAAGGGGCTTCTATCTGTGCTTTTTACTACATTTTTGTATACAAGATTATCGTACTTCTCCAGCTCATCTTCGCTGCTAGAGAACTCTTCAGTCTGCATATCCTGACTGAAATGCTGAATTGAGCTACATAATTTCCTAAAATATTGAGTTACTTATGAAGTAATTTAATGCTTTATATTAAGCCATCTCAAGCTAAGTGGTATCATGAGCTTTAGAAATGGATCTTAGAGAGAAAGTCAAAAACGATTAATCTTAATTCAATTCTTACTCTGATTCAAGTTCTTCATATTCTAAAGATTATACAAACATTACTTTTATTTCTTGTTATCCATCTTATCAGCACGCTTGGTAGATGACTTTGAGGCAACCTTCTTGTTCACCAGAATTGGATTCGAAGAATGCCTCCGAGAGTGTTGATTTTGAGCTTTATTTACAGTAAAGAACTTGAGATTAGGCTGACAGCTAAATTTCTCTTTAAGCTTTTTATTAAGCAAATTCTTTTCCTTTAAAATTTCATTCAATCTGAAGCTCAACAGAGAGCTTTGTCCAGAGCCTTCCATAGCAAAGTTGTGCAAGTAATAATTATTAGCTTTGATCAGCCGCTATAGTTCTTACACATGAATCCTTACCCTCTCAGGCTTAGCTTGAACTTCTGAAATTGCTTCAGAAATAGACTTTTTCGCGCTGACCTGGAAAGGCTTAAATTTATTAAAATCATAAGAGATTCTGTCAGACTTAATAAAGATCTGTTTAGTTGGCTTAGCCTTCTTCCCAGGGACATGATATTCCTTTGTCTTCTTCTCAGATCTCTTCTTTTGTGGAGCAGAGAGAATATTACTCTCTCTTGTAATGTTCTTACTCAAGATTTGGACCCTGTCTCTCATCTACTCATGATTAGATAAACCACTTACATTAGCTTGGGAGTTGCTCCTTCCTTGCCCTCCTTTGTTGACGATCTGAATCCTCCCAGGATTGGTCATTTGAGAGGTGTTCTGATTAGACTTGTTGTCAGGACTCAGATTATGAGAGAAATTTCCATAAGAACTTTTCATAAGTTGTGACAAAGCATTAGGATCATCCACTTTTAGTTGATTCTCTGAGACGTAAGTCTTGTGCTGGGTGGAATGCAACTCATCTTTAATACGCACAATTGAGTCCTTCAGATATTCCTCCTCAGGCCGGTTAAGAGTGATAAGGTTGATATTCTTGCCTGTTGAATCCCTCACGCCAATATTTGAACTATAGCCAGGCTTCCTAGCAAGCTTCAAAAGGTTCATGCTCTGCTTGAATCTCTTATGATATTCTTCGTTAATATCGATCCTTTCGGTATTAGTGCTTGACTTGTGCTTCTTCTGGGTTCTATTTTCCTATATACAGGTTATGTAACCCCTAATTTTGAGGAGATTACAAATTTTGGTTTACTATTTTTGACATAAAATAGCTTGAAACTTACTCGTAAAAGTCTGTTTCTGATGAGGTAAGCAGGCTTGCTGCTCAGGAAGAGTTTCCTTCCTTTACTGTATTTCATCACTGTCAGGCTCTTAGACTCAAGATTATTTGTGACTTTGAGATTTGGAGTGATGCTCAGTTGTTCTAGAGATACATTTTGAGTGGATTAGAAGAGATATGAGAGTTATGTAATTCTTATGGTGGCTTATTGGAAGGAACTATTTAAAGAAGCTAGAGCATTTGTAGATAGGATAAGTGTTAGTAGCTAAGGAACATGTCTTTAACAGATTATTAGTAAAATTCTGATTAAAGATACTTTCAGGTTAAGGAGTTTAAAAATACCAGTAAAACCCAAATATTTTCACCGGAGAAGATTTTAACTAAATCGGTTCGGAAACTTCTCCTCAAAATAAATAATATCACCCAACCCCAAATACCATCAAATAAAACTAGCCCGTACTGAAAAGTCTTCTCTTCGCCCCTCTCTCACAATCTGGCTCTAAACTACTCCAAAGTCCCACCACTAAATCCTCACTCAAAACTCCATGTCACTTTTCAGCTACTCACAAGCCAAGCTAAATCAAACTAAAATCTCTTCTATATACTATCTTTAACTTCTACTGTAAAATCCTGAGCCTTGGTCAAGGCCAAGGCTCAGTGCAGGAACAGTATTGGTTGTTCGTATTAAATATACTATAGAGCGCAATATCTTCCCCAATACTTCTTTACCCAAAAACCTCTCTTCCCTCTCTTATCTTTCCAAAACCTCCATTCTTCTCTCTTCCCCACCCCATAAACCCCAACTCCAAATCTCCTAAACCTGGCTCTACTTACTCTGCCTTAAGCCATGAGGTCAATTCTTTTTATGAGGAATCTGATGACAACTGCATGCTATCTTGTTCATGTTCATTGGGAAATAATTATAATATCAGCATGAAGTAAAAAATAGGGGTTTTGGGGTTTTGGGGTTTTGGGGTTTTGGGG